TAGTATGGTGTCTTTTCTAAAGTGTGAGTTAATTCAATTAGAAATGCCGTAAGGAAGAAGACTGATCAAGGAATGTTATTTCAGTACGTATAGTAGAAAAACATGCGAAATGTAAAAATGAATTTGTTCTCTCCCCATGGAACTAACCTGATTCATCGTCGTTGCTTGTGCTCGTTGGTGGTGATGTATTAGAATTGTTCGATGAAGAATTCGAATGTTCGATTTGATGTTCAGAAATAGGCTTCATATTTGTATTGGAATGTGTACACCGATCCATAGTAGAGAATAATGTCGAGTTAGTGTTAATATTAGTTTGATTGCTACCATTTATTTTATGTTGAAGATATGAATGATGGCCACATGAACATAAAATGATGTCTTTCGTCGTTTGATGGTGTCGTTTATGACATGATGATCTGTGAAATAAATTTGTCGATGGTGGCGGAGGTATTAAAGATGTGCAATAAGATGACGACGGTTGATGAACACCTGTGCATGAAAAAGAAAACACAAATGAGAAAAATTAGCCCCTATCGGCTATACATACACACACACACTAAACAACACAAATAATCGTTAGTTTCAACCATTAATGAACCACATATACAGGCGCGCATGCACTCAAACACTTTGGTCCTTCTCTTCGCGTGCCGCTCGGCAGGGAAAAAACAGACCATCCTTTTCATCTTCATAGGTAAACAAGACTCACTCACCAGATTCTCCTCCTATGTTCTGGTGACCTTATCTTACATATACTCTTTCGGAAAGAAGAAAAAAAGGAAAGAACTGCAGTCTATCTCGTCGAAAGATTTCAGTGACGATACTTGATTTAACTCATGTTAATCATTTGTCAAAGAAAGATAGTAAGTATATCTATCTGCGCATATACACATGCGATACTATCCGTTTTATGTAACTTTTGCGATTGATCTCTTTGATTGTGAATAACAATCCATTGTGCATCATGCCTTGATGAACATCTGTGTCCCAATATATACTCCCAGGA